AATTAATTTTAAAAAAGGTTAATTAATTGATATCAGTCTATATGACAAGTAATATATAATTGGAAATTGTAGCAAATATTATGGAATGTGATGTTACTTATACATAGCTCTAATTTATTGTAAATTAAAATGCTTTGGACTTCAATACCCGCTTTAATTAATTGATATGCCAAATATTTATCAAATGAATCAGATATTATCAATATTTGCTAAAGAGACCCAAATAAAGTTAATTCAAATACATTGCATTATTCATTACTAAAAGTGGCTTTAGAAGTAAAAAAAATAAAAAATCTATATAAGCAATATAGAACTGTAAATGTTACAAATATTCTGGAATGTTATTTCTTATTGTACATTGCTCTAATTGACTGTAAATTAAAGGGATAGGTCACCCAAAAATGAACATTAGCCCATGATTTACTGACCCTCAAGTCATCATAGGTGTATATATCATTCTTCTTTCAGACAAATACAATCGGTGTTATGTTAAAAAAAGTACTGATTAGCCTATTCCAAGCTTTACAATGGGAATATTACGGGAAAAGAGTAACCTTTGATCTGACACACAACGTAATCATGCATGCGGAAACGCATAGGATAGAGCACAACAAATCACCAGTCATGAATTACACATGTGTCACGAGTTACTCTTGTAGCAAGTCAGCTTGTGTAGAATGTGTACGGTCGTCTGCCTGAAGCTAGTTATTTTAGTTAGTAAAGTTTTAAATATGGATATTATTTAATATAATATAATATAATACACCCCCCCCACACACACACACACACACACACACCAACTCCCCTGTGGTATGGAGCACTTTTATCATGGATAAAAGCCTTTGCACACACACACGCGCACACACACACACACGCTGAGTGAAAGTGTCCGGATTCTTAAAAGTTTATGTTGAGTGGCTGTGCAGGCAGTACTTTAATTAGCACTCAGAACTTAAAACCATTTAAAATCCATTTATTGCTTAAAACCACAAGTCTGTCACACTTAAAGAGCAAACAGCACTTAGAGGAGTGTCACTGTGACAACTCATCTCCAGACAAGGGGCCATTTCTAAACAAATTTGATTAAATTTGATCTAGTCTACTGAGGAAATATCTACATCAGCACAGCAGACACATTTTCAGTGTCACCATACGTAATTTCACCATAATTATTACATTGTGAAAATCTAATCTGAACTTGTTTCCCATTTTAGTCATGTTAAAATGGAATCATAATATTTCTCTAATCCAATTTAAAAGATGAAAGACAACAGAGTGTACGCATCATGTCGAAGTATTTCTGATTAAAGAGTAAAACACTAAAATCCCTTTTTCCTTTGCAATCACTGCATTGCAAGTTTAAACTTCTCTTGCTGGTTCATTATTGTAACTGTCATGCCTGCAAAGAGTCTGCCAAGGGAAGGCTGGGTAATAAAACAATTGAAGCAGAATATCTTCAGTTTCACTGTTGCTATGCCAACATCAGCTTATTGATACAGTGATGTGACTTCCACTGGAAGTAGATTGGGGTTATTGCTGGCTACATCTGCCATTAGGAGAACACAGGATTGGGAACAAAGATGCAATGTGAAATCTATGAGGGAATATTTGAATTCCAGAATTCCAGGAAGATGGCTTTCATGAAGATATAATTTTGATCTTGAGCAGTTGACTCTTGGTCCTCTTTAAATGTGACTGTGTGTGTGTGTGTGTGTGTGTGTGTGTTAATAGAGGAGCTTTAATTGAATGCCATGAATGTGAGAGGGAAAATAGCACTGTTTCCTGCAGAGGATGAAAGTCACAGACCGTGACATGAAAGGCTAGCTCTAAATGGGTGATTACTGCTATACTGTGTGCTAACATTATATATACTGTGTGTGAAATAATAAAATTATTTGCGTTTACTGTGTTTACACCAACAAAAAAATGTGTTTATTTGTGTTCACACCAAAAAATGATATTTATGATTATTGCTATTCTGTGTGATAATAGCACAGAGTGATAGAGAGAGAGAGAGAGAGAGAGAGAGAGAGAGAGAGAGAGAGAGAGAGAGAGAGAGAGAGAGAGAGAGAGAGAGAGAGAGAGAGAGAGAGAGAGGGGGGAGGAATTAGGAGCCAGAAAACCTCTCGGTTACCCAGTATCTGTGTAAAGTGTGTAAAAGTACTGACAATGTCCTCATACAGCTTTATGTTATTGTGCAGAGAAACAAAAAAGAGGAAGAGGAGTGGAAGAGGATGAGGTATTTCCTTACTATGTCATTTATCATGAAAAATATAATTTAGAAATTATGATTAGTTTGGAATAGATAGCCTAATAATCTAATGTATAGTCTTAGCTTTAGCCAGCATGTTTAAAAGCAAGGACTTATTTAAAGATGCCGATTACATCACCCTGTATCATTACTCCTGTTATCTTTTAACATCTTTAAAATATTTTCTTTCTTTCAATTTGGCTGTCTCTTTAGTAGGTTTTTGTTTTCATAACAAGAATTAAGTTTATTCATTTCCATAATGTGCCCCAGCAGAGTCGATACAATATCTCTGCATCCTTCTTTTATTTGCTCTGCTTTCCTCTGTTCTCCTCTCTTTGATATCCCTCCTTTGGGACTCATAAAAACGAAATAGCAAATACTTATGTATACCAACCTCGCCTCCCACCTTCATCGTACTCAATTGGCCTGGAGCAAAGTTCTCCAGTTTGTGCATATGCCTCAAATCGCCCCATCACCAGGAAATTGCATTTATGGATCTGTGGGATATTGTTTTAGAATCAGACCACATACCAGAATATTGTGCACAGCACAGGTGATTTGTTTGAGATTAATCTGAAATGAAAGGGAATAGGCAAAACTGTAATAAAGGCAGTGTTGCATGACTTGCTTGTGTATTTTACCTTGTTTTTATTTCTCCCCGACAATCATCCGGCCTGTAATTTATTTGCCACAAAATCTTGGGAGTGAAAATAGCAACCTCCTAACAACCCCCCAGAACACCTAGCAACTACATACAATTGTATTTTTGTATGGGTTAGCAGAACTCTTCAGAAAATGTAAAAACCTTCTTTTCTTTAACTCATTACTTTAGATCTATGTGTCCTCCAGAAGCTTGTGTTCTGCAAGTGAAAAGTGAACAGTTCTGGAAGTGAACTTGTGGTGCCATCATCCCAAAGAGACACCACAAAACCACTTTCACTGATTTTTACCTGGACTGTTTCTAATGGTGGAATGACCGGCGCAAGAACAAATTTTCAATAAACTGCTAAAGATCCATCTTGTTCATAAACACTTTACCCAATAAAGCTAAGCCTTTGTTTAAAAACAAAACAAAAAAACTTGCTATGTGTACTGTGCTAGACACTGCACTTGTTGATTCCATTGTTATATTAATTATAAGTCACTTTGGATAAAATGTAGTTGTAAATAAAATGTAGTTGTAAAAATGTTTGTATAAAGGTATACAGCAATTGCCTTTTAATATAAATTTTTACCTGTTCTAAATTATATACTAAGTTTGCATTTTCTATCAATCACTTTTTTTGATGTTCAGTGTTTGTTCAATTATTAATACTTTAAATGTGCAGGTATTCCATATACATTTAGTTAATTTAACAGAAACTGACTGTAAATTTTAAAACAATTAAAAAGTATTTAATTAGAGATTGGTCAAAGTTGTGAAATTAGATCTGTACAAATACAAATTTGGAATTTTAAAAAATGGAATTTATATAATATATAAATTATATATTTTTTTTTTTGTACAGCAGTTGGACTGTAAAAATACAGAACATATTTACGGTAAACATTTTTTTCATTCTTGAGTCAGATCCTGGCCATTTTGTTTTCACATTGATTTTTGATATGAAACATTGTCATACATCATCTAAGAGATTTTACTCAGTCAACTGCCTTTTTAAAAAAATTGATATAATATTACTAATCTGGAATATTAAAAATTGTAATAGTAACTTGGCTGTACATTTACATTGTAAGTCTGTTCACAAAATCCCTTCATTGAGGCCTTGATGGGAACATGTGTGTAGTCTATGGTCTATATGGCAACAATCACATAAGTTAAGCCTGAGGGACATACAAGTCATAATCGGCAAGGTCATCAAGATTGCATTATCTTCATTAAAAATTATAATATACCCTTAAGTTGGCAAAAAACAAACAAACAAACAAACAAAAAACTAAGAGCACCATGCAGGTAAACTTTGCGAATGGCACGACAGAAAGCTTATCAAGTTCTCTGCATCTCCAACAGTGTAAAGGAAAGAGCCACTTGCAAAGATTTAGGGCAACGCAAACATTTTGTACTGTTGTTAAAGCCTGACATCGAATTGAACATTAATGTGCATTTCCAACAAAATAATAACGTATGAACGACACCCTCACGATGATCGTTTCACAAGAAAAAAAAATCTCAGAAATTAGGCTACACTATCACGCTATAAAGGACTTCCCGTATCAGCCAGCCGCGATCTAATCCTGCTAACATGAAATAAGCCTGCTATCGAGCAGGTTCAAGCCTGAGTCTTTGTATTGTTTTCAGTTTATTGAATAAAGTGTGCTGCATGTGGATTCTGCTTCCTCCTCGTTACTACCGCATCGTGACAGTTACTTTGTAACCCGAGACATTGCGCTTTAAAGGGTAAAATAAGCCATTTGTGACTTCAGGATTTGTGCAATGCTCTATGTGAAATTCAAATCTACCAAAAACATATTCAAGTCAGATAGGTCTTAATAAAGTAAAAAAATGTGTGAATAAATGTAGGTTCTAATCAATTACAACATCTCTATTGATTTTACTTTTGCCCAACCTAGAATGCTAAGAAATGTAGTGATCGGTTATCACGATTTTTGGACCACTTTTCACTGAAGGTGTGGCTATGAGTACATCAGATGACCACTCCCTCCTCTTAGTTTGGTACACCAGTCAAGCTCTTGCACCCATCAGGGGGCTGTTCAATAATTTAGAATCAGAATGTGAAGTGAAAGGTACCTTGAAGTGAAGGTTTGCTCTCCTGAGCTTAACCTCATTTCGAATGTCTCTGTGCGTCTTCTACCTCTCTGGGCCAGACACTCAGAACTTGGTCAATCCACTTTTATCTCTCTGGCTTGGAGACTCGAAATGTGCTGCATCTGTTGTCTCGCTTGAAGAAAAAAGAAGTGTATGTCAATGTCTCTTTCCTGACAGAGTAGGCTCAAAACTTGGCCATATTTTTTGCTGCCTCACAAGCTGTAGACTCAGATCAGAGAATATGTTGTTGTCTCTCTGGAAGAACCAGTCTCAGAACGGTGTCTGTTATGTCTCACCCAGAACTTGTGTGTGTTGCTGCCTGCCCTGTAAACGGCCACAGGCTCAGAACAAGAATCAGGGTTCGAAATGATTTATGACTCTTGGGGGGTTCCCTAAAATGTATGTAATTATAAAATGATAAACAATCCTGAAGACTAGCTTGCTACACTATGTAGCTGTAGGCAAAATATATATGGACCAATGTCAGGGTTTTTCCTGTGGCAAAATCCCAACACTCTTTTTGAAAATTTTGTTCATTTTAAAGATAAATTCATTCATCTGGTGCCCTTTGAGTCACTCGAAAATAAATAATAATCCCCCTGCCAACCACCCATATTCTTTGATTTAGATATCTGCATCTGACCATCACATTACAATTATACAATTAAGCATTATAATATGGTCAAATATCACACTGAAGTAGGCTGATTTAAAAATAGCATTTATTTGAGTTGAAATTACATTTCCTTTATACCCTAAACAGAGGCTTTACTCCCTTTAAACTTAAATTGTCAATGTTTAATTTTTGAAAACACTCTTTTCTGAATATTTTTTCGAACCTTTATAAAGGGCACTTTTCCCTTCATTTTATTTAATATATGCTAAATTTCATTTCAAATTCGTACATTTTATTAATAGGCTACATTCAGTTAAAATAATAGGACAGCCTAGCGTGACTGCTACAAATCAATGCTATCAATTATTCCTAAACTCTTAAAAACCTTATTACCTTTTGTTTTACTTATTTGGAAATGGAACATTTGTACCATTCGCACTGAGACTTTTCAAATAATACTAAACACATGTATACAACTTTATGATAGTTGCTCAAATTAAAACCATATAGATTCTTGTGTGAGTGTGGGTGATCTCTGCAAGAGTGGGGGATGCGGGGAAGGAGTGTGTGTGTGAGAGATGTTCAAATGTTAATTTGCAAGCAAGGTCCTTCGTCTCATAGACATGTGTTGAGCTTGATCTCTTCAACCAGTTCTTTTTTCAAGTCTTACAACAGTAACTTTATCTAAATGCATATACATATTACAAGAGAGAGAGAGAGAAACTCACAAGTCAGCGATGGATGTTGAAGAAAACTGATCCTACATGTAGCCTGTGGCACGCTGGCAGATGAATGGAGTGAGTGTCAATATGTTCTGAGTTGTAGATGGAGAACAGCATCCTGTGTCACTAAAGAAGGCTGTCAGTTGCTATGCATCTGGGGAGAGAGGACAGGCAGGCCTGAGGCTTTCTATCATCCAGACCTGTGACAGACAAAAACCACCTTTTCATCCACCTTCCATACAGTCTTGGCTTTTTTTTTCTATAGGTCATTCTCCAGCTTTACTTTCTTTATGCTCCCCAAACACCTAGCAGGGTCGAGAGGGGTTTCTCTGCTCCCTTCTGATTGCTGTGCATGCAATGGTGTGGCAGGGGACAGACTGCATGAATGTGGGAAAATGTTCACGCCTGGAGAAATCATTGTTTTGAAATCTGTGTGACAGCTCCTCCTGTTTTGAAGCCCTGTCTGCTGTGAACATGGAATGCCTTGTGTTTTCATGTTAATGCCTAACTAAACACTAGTTTGGCAAAGAAAAGTCAACTGTATACTGTAAAATCTTATTCATTTACTCAAATGATTTATGAATATTAAAATTCACAATGAAATACTGAATTTGACAACATGACTATGTTAATAAACATATGTATTTGGTGACAAGCAAGAGTAATCTTTGACATCTTTTGCATGACTGAGACCTGGCAGCAGCCAAACGACTTCGCTTCCCTCAATGAATCTACTACACCGGGGTTTGTTTACCGATCTGCACTTCGTATGTCTGGGAGAAGGGGTGGTCTCGAGGTAATATCGTGAGAACTGGAAAGTTGTTCCTGTTAATCTGTCTGCCTGCCTCTCCTTTGAGGCTATGTCTGTCAGCTCTCTGGACCTACTCCCACTGTTATTGCGACTCTCTAAAGATCATTTTATCTCTGATTTTTCTGCATTTTTGTCTCATTTGGCTAAACTTTCATCTTATTAATGGGAGATTTCAGCATCCACATGGACAACTTCAAAAACACTCTCGATAAAGATTTTACCCCATGTATTGACAGTCTTGGATTTCAACAGTTTGTCAATTTTCCCACACAAAATACAGAATCTGCTGCTCAGGTATAACACCCATGGATTGCAAGACTGATCACCTTCTTTACACTGATCATCTGCTTCTTTCATTCAATGTCGATCTGTCTTTCACTGAATCTAATCCACCACGTACTGTTCATTTCCGTTAAATCAAGGACTGGACAATTTCATAATACATATCAATAACCTCCCCAGTGTAGATAGCCTTTCTACAACAAATTAGATTCTCACACATTACAAAACTTGATCTGTTACTTTCACTCACACTTCACCCTGGTTCACTCCCACCCTCCGACTGGAAGACTCTGCACTCACCATACACAGACATGTGCACTAATCTAAAGATGCCTTTTGGCCTCCGCTCCATCGCATTTCTGATACCAATGCTTTTTGGGACTGAAGCTGTGTCTGTGTGAGTGTGTCCCAGTTGGTGCCACTTTCCAAGGTCTTCCCTCCTCACTCACTCCATTTCCCCCAAGGAGATACACTCAATAAAGAATGGATACACTCATCCAATGGAGCATGTTCTAGCACTCGCTCTTCATTACAGTCCCACTGTGACATCTCACCCTCTCTCATTTCTCTGAGGATTTAAGAACGAATAAAAGTGTTTTATCTCCCTCCTACTCTCTCTCCCTTTTCCATCGGCTGTCTTTCACGATTCCAAAGAAACGATAAGAGCAAATCAAAGAGAGAGACAAGTCGGGGGAGAAGTCATTCTGTTTTGAACAGCAACATATTGAGGAGATTTTAAAGGGGATTGCTATTCAGTACTGTGCACAGAGTTACATCTCTCAGAGTGAATGCTTTAGAGTGGAGTGCCTAAAACTCTCTCACAAGTCACTGTAACGCACAGTCTCTGTAAAGTAGGGCTGCACAATCAATCGAAATAAAACTCGATTAATATAACTTTGTGGGCGGGTCTTGGGCGCTATTGCCATTTTACCGGCGGGACAAATGGCTCTTGAGCCTAACGCAAGTTTAAAAGGGGTTGGTCTGAAATAACTTCATTATAAAAAGTTGGGGTTTGGGCGTAAGGTGAAATAAACCAACCTGTACAACCTGTAGAGAAAAGGTCGTTTTAAACCTTATTTTAGGGCAAAGTCATCAAACTTTTTCAGTGACTTTTATCATATTTTACTGCTGTTTCATGCAGTTTTTATGTCCCGGTGACCAGTGAAAGTGTAGTTCTGACTCTCTGCCCATTAATTTAGCCTGGTCTTGTTAGTCCGAAATAGCTGCCCGTAGGAGTTACCGAGATGATGGGCGAGTGGCATGACTTGCCTAAAAGGACTTTGACGTGAAGCACCCTGACTGGAATGCAAGTACGGGCCTTCATGAACCGAACGTCGTTTGACTGTCCCCCCCAACCCCACCACCCTTGGATCAGTGCGCAGTAAATCACTGCTTGATTTGCGATTAACAAAGCGGAATCACAGGTCCACGTTTTTCAAACAGTAGGAGAGACACCTTGTATACAAGGGTGAACTATCTTTTATTATTACTCTGCATGGAAACTCATGATTTCCAAGACACACCGTTACTGAATCTACATATTGGTTCAGTTCAATATAAAACAGGAATCTGCAATGAAATTTTTATTATTTTTATTATTATTTAGAACAAATCTGTATAGATGCAAATAAAATATGAAAAAAACAAGGATGTATCCACATACAATATATGACACTTTCTGAGAACATGCTGTAAACATATTTCTTATTAAAGTTTATTTATCTTATGATGACCTCTCCAGGCAACTTGCCTCTCGTTTCCGGGTCTCCGGGTTTGAATTTAATATACGATGAACAAAAATCTGACCTTTTACATTGTAATAAACGCACTAGTAGCTGGCAGCACAGGTGACAGAGCTTAGGTGAAGCTATCAGCATTAAAAAAAGCCTCTAATCTATAGCTTTACGTGGAGTTTTCTGTTATCAGAGTGTTCGTTGGTTACACAGTGTGACCTGCATCCCTAGCGTCGGACGCATACTAATTTGGTTTTGCACTGTGTACCTGACCCAAGGTCTTGTGGGATACCTCCACTCTAATTACAGTTTCGTCTGCCACACGAAACCCACATGACCTTATTGAACCAAACCTGATGCGTGATTAAGCGATTGGGATGCAAAGAGAGATCTTGGGCAACTGAGAGCTGCAGAAAGGAGAGCCCCTGAGCCTGAAATTAATGCTTCAGTTTTACATGTAATCACTCAATCTGAGATGTGATCTACACTATATATATACTGTATATATATATATATATTTTTTTTCCCACTGGATTTACTTTGCAAGCCACTTCTTAAGCACTTTTTTACATTCATTTTCGAGCAATAACAATATTAAATGTGTAAGGTTTCTCTCCAATGTTTTTATGTACTGAGACATTCTAACAAATATTAGTTACCTATCTGTCAGTCACTACAATGTTATGTCGACTGACAAATGGGGTCTTACTTGGGAGTCCCAATCACCTCTGAGTTTTAGAAAAATGACCAATGAAATTAGCGAGTGGAATTTGCATGCCGAGCTAATACGAATATATAATATGGCGGCACGAATCCACTCATTCAGATTTTTGAGAACTCAGTGGTTGTAGACAGTGATCACTCTTCCAGTCACCAAAGCAACAATAAGAATTCAACAGAGATCTCTTGCGCTGGTAAAGAATGCACATTTAGTGTTTAGCCATTCACACGAGAACAAAGACGACAGTTAAGTGCAGTGAAATTCCCCAGGGCCTTTCAGCGCAAAGAGCAAATTTGTTGTTTCCTATATCCTCATCTGACGGCCACAATCGCTGTCCCTGCTAGAGTCCCCTCTGATGCTACCCAGCCTGCTGCCTCTGCTCAAAGCAAAGCCACAAGTATGGTTATGAACTAAGAGAAAGCACCAGCTGTCTATTGTTTAAATTCACAATAAAGAGATGGATTAAAAATAATCAAAACTGCAATCACCAATAGTTGGTTTACCTTATCCCAGGTATTGCCCTTCTTTGTACTGTACTTATTTAATTATACTATTTGCTTCTTTCTCTTAATTGTTTCTATTTTTCATGTATTCTTTTTTTTATTAATGTAATATGATGATGTGTTGACCTGCCAAGGGACTACAGATGAAAATTAGCTTTTCTGCTAACTCTGGCACATTTAAAAATTAACTTTAGTGGAGGCAGTTATCAGAGTCCTAAGAAAAAAGAAAACATGTTAGCAATTTGTCAGAACAAAGCAAAATGAGATTTTGATGATATTGAACATGACCCAGCAAATTACACACCCACAAATATATTCCAGCAAATCAACAAACACATACAAGCAAACACCAGATTGCTGAATGAAATGGTTTCTTTAAAAAATGCAGAACAAGACCCACAGATAATAATTTGCAGAAGCAACAAAATGTCTGTTTGTGTTTTGGTGTTATTTTTTAAAAAGTGCTTTCTACACTAAAAAAAAGTGGTATTTAGTTGAGCACAGTGAGTGGTATTAAAAGGGTTAGTTTACCCAAAAATGAAAATTCTGTCAGTATTTACTCACCCTCATGTTGTTCCAAACCTCTATGTGTTTATTTGTTCTGCTATACACAAAGGAAGATATTTGGAAGAATGTTTTAATCAAACAGATCTCATTCCCCATTGACTTCCATAGTAGGAAAAAAAATACATACTATGGTAGTCAATGGGGAATGAGGTCTGTTTGATTAAAACATTCTTCCAAATATCTTCCTTTGTGTTCAGCAGAACAAATAAACACATAGAGGTTTGGAACAACATGAGGGTGAGTAAATACTGACAGAATTTTCATTTTCGGGTGAACTAACCCTTTAAGATTCAGCTGCAGAGGTTACTACTGTCAGTGTCAGTCAACCCTGTGAAGTCCTGTGAGAGGACAGCCCTGACTCAGCTCAGCTCTTTCTGCTCCATACTGCAAAAGACAGTTCTGGCCTGCCAATCAAACCGAATTCGCCCTGAGAGATGAGAATATCAATGACTCAGGGCTTTCAAATATTTCATCGTTCATGTACGGTGCAGCCTTACCATGTAATAAATAGGGAGAGAGAAAAACAGATGCCCTGGT